TTTTGTTGACCTTTGTCCATGGAAGGTCCCTGCAAAATTTCATTGAAATTGGTTCAGGGGTTTTGGAGAAGAAGTCGAAAATGTAAATTGTTTACGGACGCACGACGGACGACGACGGACAAAAGGCGATCGCAATAGGTCACTTGAGACTTTGTCTCAGGTGACCTAAAAATCCAGTTGAATGACCTATGCTAAAACGTGAGTATGGTACCGAGTATGTGATATTCAATTTCAGACAGGTTTTAAGAAAAAAATATGACATGCGTGGGTCAAATTTGGATTAAAAATCATGTTTTTTTGCATTTTTTGGCGGTTTTTGATGTGGTAACCATGGTTTTCACAAGTCCCAAATCTGGAGAAATCAATTTTTGAAATAAAAAAAAAAAATCTAAAACAAAAATGAATTCAAAATGTAGTTTATAAATATATATATGTAGGTGTGTTGTGCAGGATAAATACGCTATCCAATGTTTATCTGAGACATGCCCTTTATTTTTAGGATCAAGCCATTTCTACTGTACTCTGCTACCTTACTATCAACTTATTTTGTCATGTAAACAGACTGTTTTGTTGATATCATTTTAACAAAGTGCATTTTTTAACAAAAGCTGTTTGATTTATTGCTGTTTTGTTATACTAATATTCATACATCAGTAGTTCCTGACTGTAAACAAGACATTATAAAGGGAAACTTTTCATGTCAGGACAGTGTCAGTGTTATATTCACACAAAGAGCCGGGCACCTACAGCTACTTTGTACAGTATATACTGTGCTGCATAGGCCTTAATAGTCATTAAGTGTAGATCAGAAAAATCAGAACTAACAAGAACTCTGACAGATCAAGCTTATATAGATCATATGTGTCAAAAAGAAACAAGTCATAATTTTGGTTGTAGAAATATTTGATATAATTGTTACACATGTATACCATTTGACAAAAATTAGTTACCAATAAGTTTTAACAAAATCAGACTAGCAGAACAGAACCTATAAACCGAGAGGTCTCAGCAAATCAGAAGCCATGTGAAACAAATCATATGCATCCACTTATAAGTTAATAAGTATATCTGATACAGAAGGTAACAGTACCTCAACAGTCTTAAGGATACATTAACTGAAAAGTTTGCACTGCACTTATTTGATCTTTGACCTTGAGCTCAAGGTCACGGTGACATATCAATAGTGCACTGCACATTAATTGTATGTGGGAGATGCTGATTTACTGCAAGTTTCATAAGATATCTTTAAAAATTAACATTTGTGGTCCAGGAATGGTAATACAATGCATTTTCGACAGTTTATCTCCTGTTCTATTTTTATAGCTAAAGCGTCTTTGACCTTAGTCTTATGAATTTTCAAAGTTTTACTGTAAAACATATTGTTTGGGCTAAAGTACTGAAAATGTAATATACATTAGTAAAATATCTGCTATATAAACAGGATAGCAGATCCTCTAAACCAAATCGACAAATCCTCAGTAGTACCTGTAGTTTCCTGAGGAAGTCACCAATAGCTGGCTTGCCTACGGAGGGGATCTTACTGCGATCTAGCTTCAGCACCATGTCCTCACTGCCATCGTCACTAGTGAAGTAGTCGATCTTGACCAGGCCCTTACCAGCTTCCAGCAACACCCTCAGGATCACAAAGCGGGCCTGCATGTGAGCCTAAAATACAGAATAAAGGTCATATAGCAACACCCTCTGGATCACACACCGGGCCTGCATGTGGGCCTAAAATACAGAATTAAGGTCATATAGCAACACCCTCAGGATCACACACCGGGTCTGCATGTTGACTAACAATACAGGATAAATGTCATATAGCAACACTCTCAGGATCACACACCGGGTCTGCATGTTGACTAACAATACAGGATAAATGTCATATAGCTACACCCTCTGGATCACACACCGAGCCTGCATGTTGACTTACAATACAGGATAAATGTCATATAGCAACACCCCCAGGATCACACACCGGGCTTGCATGTTGATTATTTACAATACAGAATACAGGTCTGAAAGTTGTTCAAAGGAAATGTTAATGGATTAGGGTCGACACACTCTATCACAACAACCATGGGGACAAGACCATACTTATGACCCCTCTATCACAACAACCATGGGGACAAGACCATATGTATGACCCCTCTATCACAACAATCCTGACAACAAGACCATACTTATGACCCCTCTATTACAACAATCCTGAGAACAAGACCATACTTATGACCCCTCTATCACAACAACTCTGGGACAAGACCCTACTTATGACCCCTCTATTACAACAATCCTGAGAACAAGACCATACTTATGACCCCTCTATCACAACCACCCTGGGACAAGACCCTACTTATGACCCCATCTATTACAACAACCCTGGGAACAAGACCATACTTATGACCCCTCTATCACAACCACCCTGGGACAAGACCCTACTTATGACCCCATCTATTACAACAACCCTGGGAACAAGACCATACTTATGACCCCTCTATTACAACAACCCTGGGACAAGACCATACTTATGACCCCTCTATCACAACAATCCTGACAACAAGACCATACTTATGACCCCTCTATCACAACAACCATGGGAACAAGACCATACTTTTGACCCTTCTATCACAACAACCCTGGGGACAAGACCATACTTATGACCCCTCTATCACAACACCCCTGGGAACAAGACAAAACATATGACCCCTCTATCACAACAACCCTGGGAACAAGACCATACTTATGGCCCCTCTATCACAACCACCCTGGGACAAGACCCTACTTATGACCCCTCTGTTACAACAACCCTGGGAACAAGACCAAACTTATGCCCCCTCTATCACAACAACCCTGGGAACAAGACAAAACATATAACCCCTCTATCACAACAACCCTGGGAACAAGACCATACTTATGACCCCTCTATTACAACAACCCTGGGGACAAGACCATACTTAGACCCCTCTATTACAACAACCCTAGGAACAAGACCATACTTATGACCCCTCTATCACAACAATCCTGAGAACAAGACAATACTTATGACCCCTCTATCACAACCACCCTGGGACAAGACCCTACTTATGACCCCTCTATTACAACAACCCTGGGAACAAGACCAAACTTATGACCCCTCTATCACAACATCCCTGGGAACAAGACCCTACTTATGACCCCTCTATTACAACAACCCTGGGAACAAGACCAAACTTATGACCCCTCTATCACAACAACCCTGGGAACAAGACCCTACTTATGACCCCTCTATTACAACAACCCTGGGAACAAGACCATACTTATGACCCCTCTATTACAACAACCCTGGGAACAAGACCAAACTTATGCCCCCTCTATCACAACAACCCTGGGAACAAGACCATACTGATGACCCCTCTATCACAACAACCCTGGGGACAAGACCATAATTATGACCCCTCTATCACAACAACCCTGGGAACAAGACCAAACTTATGACCCCTCTATCACAACAACCCTGGGACAAGACCCTACTTATGACCCCTCTATTACAACAACACTGGGAACAAGACCATACTTATGACCCCTCTATCACAACAACCCTAGGAACAAGACCATACTTATGACCGCTGCCCTCTATCACAACAACCATGGGAACAAGACCATATATATGACCCCTCTATCACAACAACTCTGGGAACAAGACCATACTTTTGACCCTTCTATCACAACAACCCTGGGAACAAGACCATACTGATGACCCCTCTATCACAACAACCCTAGGAACAAGCCCCTACTTATGACCCCTCTATTACAACAACCCTAGGAAGAAGACCTTGCTTATGACCGCGGCCCTCTATCACAACAACCCTAGGAACAAGCCCCTACTTATGACCCCTCTATTACAACAACCCTGGGGACAAGACCATACTTAGACCCCTCTATTACAACAACCCTGGGACAAGACCCTACTTATGACCCCTCTATCACCACAACCCTGGGACAAGACCATACTTATGACCCCTCCATCACAACAACCATGGGAACAAGACCATACTTTTGGCCCTTCTATCACAACAACCCTGGGACCAGACCCTACTTATGACCCCTCTATTACAACAACCCTGGGACAAGACCATACTTATGACCCCTCTATTACAACAACCCTGGGAACAAGACCAAACTTATGACCCCTCTATCACAACAACTCTGGGACCAAGACCATACTTTTGACCCTTCTATCACAACACCCCTGGGGACAAGACCATACTTAGACCCCTCTATTACAACAACCCTAGGGACAAGACCATACTTATGACCCCTCTATTACAACAACCCTGGGAACAAGACCAAACTTATGACCGCTGCCCTCTATCCCAACAACCCTTGGAACAAGACTATACGAATGATCCCTCAATCACAACAACCCTGGGAACAAGACAAAACATATGACCCCTCTATCACAACAATCCTGAGAACAAGACCATACTTATGACCCCTCTATTACAACAACCCGAGGAACAAGACCATACTTATGACCGCTGCCCTCTATCACAACAACCCTAGGAACAAGACCATACTTATGACCGCTGCCCTCTATCACAACAACCCTAGGAACAAGACCATATGTATGACCCCTCTATCACAACAACTCTTGGAACAAGACCATACTTATGACCCCTCTATCACAACAACCATGGGAACAAGACCATACTTTTGACCCTTCTATCACAACAACCCTGGGAACAAGACCATACTTTTGACCCTTCCATCACAACAACCCTGGGGACAAGACCATACTTATGATCCCTCTATCACAACAACCCTTGGAGCAAGACCATATGTATGACCCCTCTATCACAACAACCCTAGGGACAAGACCCTACTTTTGACCCCTACATCAGAACAACCCTGGGAACAAGACCATACTTTCGACCCTTCTATCACAACAACCCTGGGGACAAGACCATACTTATGACCTCTCTATCACAACAACCCTTGGAACAAGACTATACGTATGATCCCTCAATCACAACAACCCTGGGAATAAGGAAACATTTGTGACTCCTGTTAGACATTCTCTTTAACCAAATAAAGAGAGGGGAGTTGCAGATGTATTGCTGACAAAATCTACTTACATATGTTTTACAACATCCAACTTGAATGACTTACCTAAACCGTTCTTGCTGATAATTGGTAAATACAGTCCCTGAAGCATCTCCCTGACTCATTCAAACAAAAAGCCCAGTGGCCTTGATAGCTCACCTAGAATACTCAACACCTTAATTATGTATCTTTGTGAATCCAAACGGACAACATATGTTGCACAACAGCAGAAGCTCACTTGGCCCTTTAGGCCACGGGAGCTAGTAATAAATCTAACATTCACATTAGAATGACATGCTCCATATATATACAGCATGCATGATAGCTAACTAATTACCTGTCTCCAGGCACCTGTTTCTGGAGAGTAGAACTCGAGGCCCAACAGTCCCGCTCGAGCCATGTTCAGCCAGTTGATGTAGATAATGTCATCTGCAGCATCATCAGTATGGCCAAATATTCTGACAGAAAACAAAATGTTTAGGTTTTTGTAAGTTACCCACAAACTACATTCCAATAAACTCCACATATATAGAATTACTCTCATCATATCACGTTTCTGTTTGCTTGGTATGGAAAGTCTGTGAATTAATTAAGTGATAAATATAATGCTGTGTAGGACAGAGAGACAGAGGTAGATCCCTCCACATTCACATATAACATTGTTATAACATACCTAAGGACCTTGACAGAGAGACAGAGGTAGATCCCTCCACACTCACATATAACATTGTTATAACATACCTAAGGACCTTGACAGAGAGACAGAGGTAGATCCCTCCACACTCACATATAACATTGTTATAACATACCTAAGGACCTTGACAGAGAGACAGAGGTAGATCCCTCCACACTCACATATAACATTGTTATAACATACCTAAGGACCTTGACAGAGAGACAGAGGTAGATCCCTCCACACTCACATATAACATTGTTATAACATACCTAAGGACCTTGACAGAGAGACAGAGGTAGATCCCTCCACACTCACATATAACATTGTTATAACATACCTAAGGACCTTGACAGAGAGACAGAGGTAGATCCCTCCACACTCACATATAACATTGTTATAACATACCTAAGGACCTTGACAGAGAGACAGAGGTAGATCCCTCCACACTCACATATAACATTGTTATAACATACCTAAGGACCTTGACAGAGAGACAGAGGTAGATCCCTCCACACTCACATATAACATTGTTATAACATACCTAAGGACCTTGACAGAGAGACAGAGGTAGATCCCTCCACACTCACATATAACATTGTTATAACATACCTAAGGACCTTGACAGAGAGACAGAGGTAGATCCCTCCACACTCACATATAACATTGTTATAACATACCTAAGGACCTTGACAGAGAGACAGAGGTAGATCCCTCCACACTCACATATAACATTGTTATAACATACCTAAGGACCTTGACAGAGAGACAGAGGTAGATCCCTACACACTCACATATAACATTGCTATAACATACCTAAGGACCTTGGCAGAGAGACAGAGGTAGATCCCTACACATTCAGCACGACATTCCTCGTAACTTGATGCAAAGGAGGTGAACTTGCTATCCCAGGTCTCGTTGTGTTCATACCATTTCTCTATCTGTAACAAATGATATATCAGACAAATCTAACACATTTCAATTGGTCTGTTTTAAAGAGAATAAATACCGATGAATTCCAGTAGGTTTCAGCTTTGAAATCCAATGAATCCACTCTAGATACACATATCTTTCCTGCACGCCCTGCCCTGTGTGTGTCACCTTGCCATCAACACAGGTAGTCTAGTAGGATCTAGGATGTACATCAAAAGAATCTCACAGCAGCATAATTGTAAAATTGAATGGATTTAAAGTTGGGGGTAGCTCCTAAATGTTGTAGTGTGTGATATCAGCCTAGTGATTTGTCAGTTTATCTTACCTGAAACCAATCAAATAGCTTACCTTGTGTGCCTTCAAGTTTTACAATGACCTATTCCAAGGGTGTAGAACAGGTAACAAGTGTACTATAAGTGGAATAGTCCAAGGGGGCAGAACAGGTAACAAGTGTACTATAAGTGGAATAGTCCAAGGGTGTAGAACAGATAACAAGTGTACTATAAGTGGAATAGTCCAAGAGTGTAGAACAGGTAACAAGTGTACTATAAGTGGAATAGTCAAAGGGTGTAGAACAGGTAACAAGTGTACTACAAGTGGAATAGTCCAAGAGTGCTGAACAGGTAACAAGTGTACTATAAGTGGCATAGTCCAAGGGTGTAGAACAGGTAACAAGTGTACTATAAGTGGAACCCTTGGAGTTTGAAGATGAGCTGGTTTTTGTCCATATACAAATTTACAAAGTGAATATTTAAATATTTGGATCCCAGCTGCTTTTGAAGCATCACTGATATTAATTGCTTGTTGTATAAAAAACAGATAAAAGCATTAAGCAGTAAGACATTAACACCATAAATGAAATTACATTTTTCTAATATCATAAAATCATAAAAAAAAATATTAAAATATTATGGATATAGTAATAAGTAGATTCTGTATTTACAGCAAACAATGGGTATTACTTAATTAATTGTTTGCTGTAAATTCTGTATTTACAGCAGACAATGGGTATTATTTTATTAATTGTTCAGTAGATTCTGTATTTACAGTAGACAATGGGTAGTATTTTATTAATTGTTCAATAGATTCTGTATTTACAGCAGACAATGGGTAGTATTTATTAATTGTTCAGTAGATTCTGTATTTACAGCAGACAATGGGTATTATTCTATTAATTGTTCAGTAGATTTTGTATTTACAGCAGACAATGGGTATTATTTTATCAATTGTTCAGTAGATTCTGTATTTACTTCAGATGATGTCTATTTTCAAAGAACACATTATATATACTATCAAAGCATTATCAATACAATCAATGGTAATAGCTAAATAATATCGGATATAAAATCTTAACAGTATGAAGTAGCTATAGTATAGTGTACCTTTTTTGTCTCTAGTATAGTGTACCTTTTTGTCTCTAGTATAGCGTACCTTTTTGTCTCTAGTATAGCGTACCTTTTTGTCTCTAGTATAGTGTACCTTTTTGTCTCTAGTATAGTGTACCTTTTTGTCTCTAGTATAGCGTACCTTTTTGTCTCTAGTATAGCGTACCTTTTTGTCTCTAGTATAGTGTACCTTTTTGTCTCTAGTATAGTGTACCTTTTTGTCTCTAGTATAGCGTACCTTTTTGTCTCTAGTATAGCGTACCTTTTTGTCTCTAGTATAGTGTACCTTTTTGTCTCTAGTATAGTGTACCTTTTTGTCTCTAGTATAGCGTACCTTTTTGTCTCTAGTATAGCGTACCTTTTTGTCTCTAGTATAGTGTACCTTTTTGTCTCTAGTATAGTGTACCTTTTTGTCTCTAGTATAGCGTACCTTTTTGTCTCTAGTATAGCGTACCTTTTTGTCTCTAGTATAGTGTACCTTTTTGTCTCTAGTATAGTGTACCTTTTTGTCTCTAGTATAGCGTACCTTTTTGTCTCTAGTATAGCGTACCTTTTTGTCTCTAGTATAGCGTACCTTTTTGTCTCTAGTATAGTGTACCTTTTTGTCTCTAGTATAGCGTACCTTTTTGTCTCTAGTATAGCGTACCTTTTTGTCTGTTTCTGGGTAAGTCACAGAGGCAACATCAAAGTTGAGGTTTCCTTCTTTGTCCTGTGTAAAAAACATGACAATTTAAAAGTTAAATGTCTAGTAGAGAATTTTATTTAGTTTTTCTATCTATACACTCTTAGAACAATACCAGCAGTTATTTACTGTGAAAAAACACTTTTTAAAGTGTTATAGTTACACTGCTCTCATCTTCTTTAATATATATGGTATGATAACTGTCAATTACCTATCAAAATGTGTATAATGTGAATTATTTTAATTCCAAGAACTAGAAGCAAAATGCTATGTAATTTCAGTACCTACCTCGACAATGCATTGCAAACCTGACACACCTACCTTGCACTGATTTATAAACTTAAAACACCTTATTCGACAATGTATCATAAACTTACACGTCTACCTCGACAATGTGTCGTAAATTTAAATGTCTACCTTGTCAATGTGACGTAAATTTAAACATCTACCTTGACAAACATCTTTCCACTGCCATGGCCCAGCAGTTCATGTAGACCAACTTGGACTTCAAATGTCGTTGTCTTTAGATTAACAAATAATTCCTGCAAATAGACAACTTATTGTCAAGTTACTGCAGACATGGAGAGTGGAATACTTTACCATAGGAATGACCAAACCATTACATATTTTTTATGAGAAACAGAAAGCATATTGAAACCAAAAAAATCAATCTAATTCAATAACACACTATTGTACACAACCATCGATCGGAGGAGTATATCAACCTTTGACCCTAACTGACCTTGTCATCCTCTGCCAGAAAGTTGACTTTGTCCTTGGTGTCCTTGTAGGCTGATACGATGACATTTCCCAGCGACACGTTCTTAAATCCCTCCGACTGGCGGATGTCATCATCTATCGACAACATGGCACAAACAGAAATATATAATACAAATCATTAGCGGCCTTGCAGAGTGAAACTTATATTTAATATTTTGTTTGGTAAAGTTTTCTGTAAATGACCGACACATGCAAAATTTCCTCATACAACCTACACTGTGTAAATAACCGAAACATTTAAAATCCCCTAGCATATTTGATAAGTGTAATTGCTGTACATTAAAATTTATGCACAATTAATAATACAAAAAAAGAAAAAGAAAAAGAAAATGGTATATCAAATTCCTATCTATCATTACAGGCAATAATCAACCAGATTTCTGTGAGATATTGGTCACATTATGATAATGGAAGTCAGACTAACAATTAGGAATATTGATCCCTGCCGGTATACCAGACCCTCCAAATGTCAGCACATCAAGTGAGGTAAAGTCAGGTCGTAGGAACTTGTCCTTCTCAAATGCTGCCGGCCATGGCAACAGAGGTAGAAACTCTTCAGCACTGGCGACGAGCTGGGTGAACTTAGTGCTCATCTCTTTGTTAACCACTGCCACAAAACCTGATAAGGAATATATATAGTTATGTCCCTGATATACACAACATGTACCTGTCTATGTGATAATTAACAAAAGATCTACTTGTACAATATGACATATCAAAAGATCTACCTGTACTGTGACATATCACAAGATCTACCTGTACAATATGACATATCACAAGATCTACCTGTACTGTAACATATCACAATACATACCTGTACAATATGACATATCACAAGATCTACCTGTACAGTATGACATATCACAAGATCTACCTGTACAATGTGACATATCACAAGATCTACCTGTACAATGTGACACACCACAAAATCTGGTTGAGGAATATCATGTTTCTACTATACCTACCCTCAAACTCTCCCCTCATTCCAAATGGGTCTCTGTATGACTCAATGAAGCCAATATATCTGTGAATACAATCAGAATTGAAAAAACTGAAGTGAAATTAGAATGTGTTGATTAAATATGTATTTAGTTTTTATATTAATGTAACTATTTATCCAAAATATCTAAAACCCTTTTTTTTTAATTTAAAAAAATAGAAAAAAGTAATCTCGTTTATGTTATTTACAATGGTTTTATTGATATGAAGATCTTCTTCAACACATTCATTAATCATTGTATCATCTTTACCTATATATGTACGAGTATACTCACGTTTCTACAATAGGGCCTGTGTTTTGTATCCAGTGTCTGGACCCACTCTTATGTGAGGGGATAGACCCAGAGGTAAAACTCTCCACATAGTCATTCAGCATATTCCTCTCAAGGTCATTGGCAGCATATTCCTTCAGAAAGATATAGACGATGTCAATTACAGTTACCATCAACTTTTGATATGTGCCATACAATAAACACATCAGTGATAAGGTAAGATTTACTGTATCTAAATTTAACTAAATTTGTTTTTGCCAGAGAACTTTTCAAACTGAAAGTACATTTCTAATATCACCAACAAGTTTTAGTCTGAGTAGGAACAAGAGGCCCAAGAGGGCCTGTATCGCTCACCTGAATATTTAAGCAGTCATAGCAAAATATTCTCATTAAATATTATATTGCACTAAAAATATTTCCCTCGCAAACTTTGTTGGCTCCATTTGTTGAAACTACCAGCAAAATATTATTATAAGATTCTATGCTTTTTGATTCTTCTTCAGAAGTTGCTT